TTTATCCAGCATGAGAGAAATAAACCAAATTTTTATATGTGTTCCAAAAAAGGCAGAAAATACTAAGAAAAGTGTGTAATAAATACAGATCTAAATTTATCTTTGTTTACCATTTAAAGAATGAGAACTGAATGATGTATTCTTAGCAGAAAGTTGTCTGCATTTCTGAAATGAACAACCTTATTCTTCAAAAATAACAACTGCACTTTGTTGCATATTAATCACATTTTTCTCTAGTGAACATTGTAGTAAAACGGAGGGAGGGGAAAAGAGAAAGTAAAGGCAAACAGTAGCATTGTTGACTTCTAAAGAAACAAACTTCTTCATGATGGAATTGTGCTGTGATATGGGAAAGCTCTTGTCTCGGGAGAAAAAGCTTAAGGAAATGACTATGGCATGGTACTATCTGTTACAATACAGTTACAGCAGAACAGTGCTAAAGAACAAAATTAATCTGAATGTGCAATAAAAAGTGAAGTCATAAACTTGAATAGCTCTGCACTATACTTAAAAACACCTTATTTTGTACCACTTAATATTGCAGAAAGAACAGATACTCAGCAATAAGATTCTGGCAGTGATGTTCAAAACCACCTCACGTAACTGTTTTTATCTCAAGTCTGCTAGCAGTCTCACAGTCTCAGATTCCCAGGCATCCCAAGTCACAGGAGTTTGTGCCCAGACCTGCACCTCTCTCCTCCTCACTGTGTGCAGCATGGCAGCTCGTGCTGGGCCAGCCCTTCAGGGACAGGGACACAGGTGAGCTGTCCTGGTGACACAGGAACAGGGCCCGTGCTGTGTGGAGGTGACACTGCTGCCTGCCTGATGGAGCATCCCTGAATATTGGACATTGCTGCTGGCTTCAGGACACATCTCTCCCTGAATACTCACTTCAAAGGAACTGACTCTTTGCCAGAGGAGCCAACAGGAGTATTTTTTGGCTTTGTTTGAGCTGCTGTTTGTTTTCTATTTTGGCCATGCTCCCTCATGATAAAAGCAGCCTTTGACACAAGTGCAGCACTTAATGCACATCTCCTGTTCCTCCTGGCTCACCCCTCTCTAGATACAACTCTGAGCATCTCTGCTTCTTGTTATGTTTTTGCTTTTAGTTATCTAACAACTGTTTCTCTGTTCTGTACATCACTTTCAGCTCCATGCCAGCATTGCTTCTCTGTAGGCTCCCCAAAGGTTCAATTATCTGCCAGTTGCTCCTTCCCTTCTTTCTTCTTGTGCAATTCTCAACACTAATTACAAGTTCCACACCAAAGATACCCAACTGTCCCTAGACTTCACCACCCTGGTGGCTCCATGCTCCTCTTCCTGACCTCAGCTATGCTCTGAAGCACAAACAATGACTTCATCTCAACAGTCTTCATAGAAATGGCTCAAAGGCAGAAGTGGTTCTAAGAGGAATAAGCAGTTTCTGAAGACAGCTCCCCATTATTTGATTTTTTGGTGCCTCAGGATTTGACTTGGCTCTAAAAGGCATTACCAGTGGAGCAATCCCAGAAACATCCCTGTCAATGCTGCAGTTGAATGTCACTGTAAGGGAAGAGGTGCAGCCCCACAATTAACAACCTATCAGCAGAAGGAGCTGCTTGCTCAGTTAAGTGGTGCTGATACAGGGGGTTGTGCTGCCATGGTCATATTTTACTGGTGCAGTAAGGTAGAAAAATGATAAAAGAAAGGCCTCATAAAATCAGCTCTGCTCTGTTGTGTCAGTGGCTAGCCTTGTCAAGGCAGCAGTTTGCAGGTTTCTATGTGAAAGCCATCCTGGTGTGAACAGTTCATTACTATAACAACCTATTCCTGGGTGAAAACCAGTAGCACCTGCACAAACATTAAATCTATCCCATGAGAACCAGTGAGGAAAATATGTCAACAATTTAAGAGTAGACATATTTGATTGACAAGTAAAATATCTTTTATTAACTAATAAATTGGCAAGGAAGCTCCTAACCAATTAGAGTCACACACAAGGTCTGTAAAACTGTATAAAAATAAGTTACATGAATAAAGAATGGCTTTTTCCACTATGAAGAGAATGGAGTCTCGTGTGTTTTATTCTGATATTTTACCAATACAATTACACTGCCAGAATTTGTATGGTATGGCGTGGGTTGGGGTTTGTGACCTCCTCTTGCTGCACACACAGCCATGACTTTGGCTGACAGGATCAGGATCCCACTGCTCTCCTACCACTTGGCTGTCTGGGAAAGCCTCATTCATGATTGTGTCTTTTCACTGCATGACTCCTTCCTTAGCTCTCACATCCCCACTGTCCAGGTAAAGTTACATAGAAACGGTTGCCCTTCCTTTTCAGCTGGCAAGAGGTCCCATTTTCATATGAACTCCATCTAGTGCTCTAGGAACACCTCCTGACTGCAGAACCTGCCCCAGGAGTTGATCTAAATTGTTTTTTGCACATCAGAACCATCTCTTGATATCTGGAGCACACACTTGCACTTCTGAAAAAGCTTTTTCTATACTTTAAGCTGAGAACTTTCAAGAGACTTTGCAGGCTTTAAATATTTATCATAATGAATACCTATGTTTGATAATTTGGGAAATCCATGTTTTCAATCTAGTCTTGCATCATTTCTTCTTTCCCCTGTCTTAAACATAATAATACTTGGTTTGTATTTTAAGTGACTGTGCTCATCATCCTTGCTTTTCAAGAAATCCCAAAGAAACATCACAGCCATATTATCAGAGACATTGACAGACCACAAAGATGAGCAGCATTCCCTGTAGACATTTGTCCACCCAAGCTAGGACTGAGGAGGAAAAACTGCTGTACTGGATGGTTTAGAAGTGACACCATACTGAGAGAAATGTTTACAGTAAAAAAAAGCAATTTGATCTCTGAATCAATACAGGAACATTTGGCACATCCCAGACATGCCTCAGCAAGGGAAATCCTGAGCTTTTTATTAAAGTCAAACCCATTTCAAGAGTGAATCCCTTCATGCCTGTGCAGTTAATAATTGTCTTGCTTTAACATTGAAGCACTTGTGTTAAAAGCCCCTTTGGGTTTTCTGAATAAACCCAAATAATCTGTATTTACACATTTGTCCCCAGTCCAACAGCATCACAATTCTTAAAATATGCAATTTAGTCAGTGTAAGTGAACAGTCAACCCTATTGAGGGCTCTGTTTTTCAAGCTGTATTTCTAGAGCTTGCTTGAAGGGCAGTCACTCCACCCCACTGGAAAATAGAAAAGCAAAATATTGCAGAAAAATTAGAAAGAAAACTGTCCATAACATACACATGACCTATAGAAAAACTGCTGTACTGGATGGTTCAGAAGTGACACCATACATGAAGTCAAACCCATTTCAAGAGTGAATCCCTTCATGCCTGTGCAGTTAATAATTGTCTTGCTTTAACATTGAAGCACTTCTGTGTTAAAAGCCCTTTTGGGTTTTCTGAATAAACCCAAATAATTGACACATTTGTCCCCAGTCCAACAGCATCCCAATTCTTAAAATATGCAATTTAGTCAGTGTAAGTGAACAGTCAACCCTATTGAGGGCTCTGTTTTTCAAGCTGTATTTCTAGAGCTTGCTTGAAGGGCAGTCACTCCACCCCACTGGAAAATAGAAAAGCAAAATATTGCAGAAAAATTAGAAAGAAAACTGTCCATAACATACTCATGACCTATGATATCACTTTGAAGTGACACCATACTGAGAGAAATGTTTACAGTAAAAAAAAGCAATTTGATCTCTGAATCAATACAGGAACATTTGGCACATCCCAGACATGCCTCAGCAAGGGAAATCCTGAGCTTTTTATTAAAGTCAAACCCATTTCAAGAGTGAATCCCTTCATGCCTGTGCAGTTAATAATTGTCTTGCTTTAACATTGAAGCACTTGTGTTAAAAGCCCCTTTGGGTTTTCTGAATAAACCCAAATAATCTGTATTTACACATTTGTCCCCAGTCCAACAGCATCACAATTCTTAAAATATGCAATTTAGTCAGTGTAAGTGAACAGTCAACCCTATTGAGGGCTCTGTTTTTCAAGCTGTATTTCTAGAGCTTGCTTGAAGGGCAGTCACTCCACCCCACTGGAAAATAGAAAAGCAAAATATTGCAGAAAAATTAGAAAGAAAACTGTCCATAACATACACATGACCTATGATACCACGTTGAATGGGGATAAATAGGACACCTTTATTAGGATTTTGACTGAGCAGGCACAAACACATTCTAGAACATCAAATTAAATGCATTTGTGAGCTTTAATGAGAAGTCTGAACAACATCCCTTTGCATGAGTATGAACAGATCTACCAGAACAAAGTGCACAGGCATGCTGCTCCCAGCTAGACTCAAAAATACTATCTGCTTATCAACGAATTCCTGGCCTACATAGAAACATTTCAGTTCCAGAATATCAGGCTGCCCAGAGAGTCCATGCACAGTGGTAAAATGTATGTGTTTCTGAAGTGATAATCCTATTTACATAAGCAATTTAAATATAACCACTGCATACAAGGATATACTATATAACTGTTTAGACTTATTCTAACACCTATGAGAACTGTTGGTCTGCCTGAGTACAGTCACAGCATCAATTCACTTGGGAATCACTGCAGATTGTGATATAGGAAGATCATGAGAGATGATTTTTTTTTTGTTTGGTTTTGTTTTACCTTGTATAACCTTGCTGTGCAGAGTTAGCTGACACAGCATGTCCCTATAATTAAAGGAACTGCATGAAAATGAAAACTCTCCAACAAATACTGCATATACATCACAGGTTTGAAGCCAGAAGGAACAACTAAATTATTTCCTGTTAGCTCATGTCATTATATTTCATTAATTTCTAATGGGTCAAACCCAGTAACTTATTAAAACAAGTTAATAGAGGTGAAATAATTTTTTGATTTGAAGATAGAGATGGAGAATTTGTTATCTCTACACCTGGTGGTTTTTCCCCTTACTATAACAAACTATCTCCCTGCTAAAAATCTATGCCTTTTTAAAATTTACTTCAGGTTCAGGCTACTTGTTTTTGCTCAGCATTGCCCTGCTAGGATAAAGAGGCCTTTGGTAGGTTTTTTTTGTCTTCAAGAGACATATCTTAATCTGTCTTTTTAATGCAAGACAAAATGAGCTCTTGCACAACCTTTTCTCTTCCTCTGAATCATCTGTGGTTCTGTGCCTTAACTAATATTTCAACATTCCTTCTGAAAAGTAGGCACTCCTTCCTTACTTAAATGAAGCTAAACAATAAGGCTTCCCCTGCTCCTCATTTCTCTCCTAGTTGTGCAAGAGATACTTTAGTATCTTGGCTCACAATAAGAACATTTGTCCAGTTCTAACTTTTAATCCTGTAGTATAGTCTCAATAATATTAGAAGCAGACATTTTACAAATCTTTCAGATTCTGTCCTCCTACACTCATAACCTGGCATTAGCTGTATTGAAATAAGTCACATATTAATAACTTCAATTACCAGAAAAGCTAATCTTTGGAGTAAATGCTATTTCTTGATTTCTACCCAGAAATTGTAAGGAAAAAAATATGAGTAATTAACATAGTGGAACTTCTCCCAGAAAACCCTTCTGAAAATGCCAATAATGCTTTGTTGACATTTTAAAGGGTAGTTGTCAGTGGTAAGAAGCACTTGGCTCTTTAAAGCAGTTCTTGGCATGAAGGTCCCCATTTGTTTTGGCAACATTTCACAGGATCACGTGATGTCACACAGAAAAAGCTGTACAATACTTTGCACTTCCTGCACTTGGAAAAATATTCAAAGCTTCCAAATAAAATGGATTTACAGAGTAACAATACCGTAATTTCCCTCCCACCCCCTCACATAGGAAGTGTTCATAGCCTAGTGACATATTAAGAATCATGTTCAAACTGCACTTGAATTTTGATACACTAGCAGATATATTAGGAATGTTGTAATTTTATTCTGTTCAGTCTTTCTGAAGTCTAAAGAATATTGGTAAGGAAGACGGGAAATTAAACATTTACATCCTTCTTCCCCCAATACTTCCTCCCAGTCTTACAAACCTGAATATCAAAGCTTGAAGTCCAGACACACTTCATGGCTTTCAAATGAGGAAAATGTCATTTCACAGGCAATTCTTCAACTTGGAAGAGTTGAAAATAAACAGGATTCTGTAGGTTCAAGAGACCTTTTTGCTAGGTTCCCATCAGCTGAATTTAAGTAGATGGATCCTGCTGAATGAGTGGCTAAGGTTTCATTATGTAGCAATTCTCAGAAGCAGCCTTCTAAGCCCTGTGATAGAATTGATATCTTCAAACCAGTAGTATGTTATTTCACATACAAAGTCACTTTAATCAGCTTGATTTCTCTACAAAAATGCCAGCCAGCTAGGAGAGAGTGAGACTAAATGATGGATACCATGAAATATCCTTCTTAACTGTCCACATCACATCGGCACCTGAGTTGTTAATGAACAGTTTCTGAACAGTTCAGCATTTTCAGCTCAACTGATCAGTGCAACATCCTTTAAAACAATCCCTTTGCAGTGTAGTTGAGCACCCAGGGACAGACTGTCAGGACACTGAAGTCTGTGACCAACTGCCCTCAAGAACACATACAGAATAAAAGCCACAGTACAGGACCATACAGGACAGCAAGTTTGTCACAAAAATGTTCAGACAACTGATGTGGGTATGGGTGTCTTAAGGGCATTTCCCCTCCTGCATTGCTTTAGCTGATGCTATAAAAACAATTCTTATTTCTCCAAACCTTCACATCCATCTTTTCCATATCTACCTATGAAACACTGAATGAGGATCTGCATGGCCACTTCCACACCCAGAAGAAATTTCACACACTAAGTTCTTCTCAAAGGGGAAGGAAGGGGCTAGTAGCCTACATGGTATATACTTCAGAAACAAGAAAAAAAAGCTAAAGTAGGAAACAGGCATTGAAATCCATTCTCCACTACAGATCTGCTCTCAGGCTGCAAGGTGGACAAGACTTATAGATGTACAGTAAAAGCACGAATACCTGCAATTATAAACTGGGCTGAAGCCATGTTGTAACCTGTCATGATTTCATCTGTTTTCTAGAATTGTGATGTCTGGTATGAAGACAATCACCATATACAGCTGCAGTGACAGGTTTCATCTAGCAACTGAGCACCTGCTCTTCCACCCCTGTTTGTTACAGCTCAGTAGCAACAACTGCTGTAGCAGAAGCTGACCAGATTTCTCTTCACATAACCATGATCTTGTTTAGAGCTACAGAAACAGATAATATGGTGGTTAAGCAAGATACTGGGTCCCCTTTATTATGGGCTTCCTCTGCATGTCAAAAAAAAATTGCGAGGAAGGGGAAGAGAAGATGAATTTCAGTTGTGTAGTACCTCCGTCCCCACCAAGCATTCAGAACTCTGTTGCTCACCCTTGCAGAAGAGTTCTAAAATGGGTTATCTTTTCCCACCATATTAAATCACTTAGGTTTGTTCCAATTAGGTTAAAACCAAACAAATGGGAGCCATTTTAAAATAGTTATCCTGTACTAAAAGGTCTTACATTTGACTCCTGGACAGACTTTCTATATGAGAATTTCCAGTCACATCCTGAGACGTTAAGCACCAAAACAGGAATCATGTGAACTATTTTAAAAGCTGCTTCTCACTTAGGAAAATGTCAGCCAAAATTCAGATCTTCAACTAGATCCTTCTATGATTATTAATTTAATTAAAACCATGTATGTGATTTATAATATGCTGCAAACAAAGGCAAAGGGCAGTATACACTGATCCCTAGCACAGATATGAAGATACAGTCACACACACACTCCTGATGTATCAGTCATCGTGTACTTTTAAAGTCAGTTTTATCAGGTGTTATCTCTCAGCTCAAACAGCAATATAATCTGGTACATTAGGAATGGCTCATGTATGTTTATGATATTAACAGCAGATTTCTTCAACCTTCTGTTGATGGATGCCAGGAAACAAACAAGCAGGAGCTGTTCTTGCATACGACTATTCAAGTTCTAGCAATGTCCTATTCATAAAATTAGGATGTCAGGTAATAATTCAGCTTCAGCAGTGCCGTAGTTCATCCTCTAAGATGTAGATTTTTGCTTTTAAGTCTTTTAGTTCTCCTTGAATTTTACGTGTTAGCTTGTTTCCTTGGCGAATCTCACGTAGAATTGCAAGATCCTGGTCTGGTCCCAAATTCAAAGCCACCTAAAAACAAAAAGAAAAAAGATTAAGATAAACAAAGCTGTACAGAATACAAGTTATGGAGTATTATGGTAAGTATATGAGGGAGAGAACTCTAAAGGAGACCCTTTGTAGGCAGCAAAGAGGATGTGTAAGTTAATAGCACTAGGATAATGCACATCACCAATAGAAAGGTGCTCCAGAACAAAAAATAAAGAACAAAGCTTTCATAACATTATGCTGTTGTGTTATAGTACTAGCAAAGAAAAAATATTAATAGAATATAACCATGTTGACTCCTTTCTAGTTCCTATATTATTTAGGGACACACAAAAAGAGGCAAGTTAAAGTATTTATCAAGTAACTCGTATCTAGTTCTAAGTACCTCAGGAGATGACATTTTATCTTGTGCTATTTCAACTAGAGGTGTTCTAAGTGTTGTGGCTGCCCTGCTGCCCTCTGAACTGCACAGGATTCAAGAGCAGTTCAAGTCCAAAGCCTTGACTCAGGCAGTGCCACACGGCCTGAACTGAGCTGAATAAAGCCTGCAGGATAATCAGAATTCCTGATGGCAAGCTGACATTTCCTGTCACCCTGCAACTGGATAGAGCATGCCAGCCCAGCCACTTTCAAGGGCACAGCATTGGAAGATGCTCTAAAATCCCTCTATTCTCTTGACCCACTATGGTTTGTTATTGTGTCATCATGTAGTTCTCAGTCAAAGATTCTAATATGCAAATCAGGAAATTTAGTCATCTCTAGTCATTTTGGTCTCAAGCAAAGAGAAGGATTGAATGATGACTCTGGAGACTTCTTGCAAGTGTTTTGTTCCCCTGCCCTCTTGTGGTTAACAGTGTTAAGAAATTGAGAGTACAATGAAGAGCACACCTACAGATATAAAACATACAAGTCTCCATTAAGGCATCATGCACACTCTTCCCCCTCGTTCATATACTGCTGTTAGTCCTTAAAGAACAAAGTTGAAAAATCCACAGGCCATTAAAAAAAAAACCAACCCAAAACCAAAAAAATCCCAAACAAATTGAAGCCTTTAATCAAAATAAATGCATTAGTCTGCATAAACTGAACTGTGCATCCAAAGTACAGGAAAAGAATGAATCAGTAGCACTGCCAGACTCCTGCAGGAGAGTCTAAGCTATGCAAAGATCATCCTCTCAAGCATATTATAGATAAACGTCTCATCCTTAACTCCAAACAACATCAAGGCTGTGCCTTCCCCTGGAAGCTGTTCTGATGTTCACCTACACACTTGGAAGCTACTACAGAGAACACAGCTTCAACTTCCAGTCACTGCTTCTGCAGTGACTTTTGCAAAGTCACAAATGACATACTAAAGTAATAAACAGAGTATTCACGATACTTGAGGCAATGATCAACCTCTTACTGGAACAGAATCAAACACGATGGCTCTCACAAAGAAAATAAACAATCATTTTCTTTGCAGGATAAATTTCTGAATCAAACCACTACCTTGCAATTTTGAGACAGCTAAGTAAGCTACAGGTATCACATAAGAACTTTTGAGAGTGGAAACAAAATACACAGCTAATGTATAGCAAGGACAGTCCTTGGTAAGCTTGATGCCTAATTGATAAAAAAAGGAAAATCTTTTTTGCTGTGTAAAATACAGGAGGCATTTTTTTTCAGGTACTAATATTTGAAGACACGCTTAGAAAATGAATTATTAATGCTTGAGGAATACTACATCAAATACTGAGAATATATCTCTACAGGATAAGCCTACAACAGTCTGCCTCAGAAAGGCTTCGCTGTTACCTTATAAATCTTCTTCTCTACATCTTTCAGTTTCTGCTGAAGCTGTTTAATGTCATTCTTGAAGCCTTCTACTTCCATACTACGTCGTTTTTCCAAGGCTTCACATCGCTGAGTCATCAGTTTCAGGCGCTTCCCCATCTTTTCTGAGCGTTCCTATGGAGATGAAAATTCAATAGGCTGTACAAAATAAATGCTGGAAGATCACCACACAGCCAGCAGATGATTACACACTAATTACCTGAAAGAGTTCTTTGCCAGCATCTCTCTCCTCACGGATCCTGGCCACCTCCCCTTCCAGGGAGACACACTGCTCTCTGTACATGTGGGACAGGTGCTTTTCCTGCACTAGCTTGTCTTGCAGTAACTAGGACATAGAAAGAACAGGAAAAAAAATTAACTCAAGACTGTGCTTACAAAACTTCCCCTGCCCCAGACAAGCAAGTGTGATAACCCTGCCAGTATGACAGGAAAATAAAAATTAACTGGAACTAGAGCTCCTAAGTATGTGAGGACAATATTCTAACATCAGTCCCATTACCACAACCTTTGAATTAAGTTACCAGTTTTGTATGACTGCTCATCATTACAAATAACATTCAACTAATGCAGTAACTCCCCTTTCACAGCTGCTTGCCCAGTACTGCATTTCAGAGGCATCTGCATTCAGGGGTAGATGGAAACAATTCCCTATTGCCTGTTTACTTTCCAATTCCTTATTCTGATCTCCTAACTTCTCACTGGAAGTGTAGTGGAAGAGGAAGAAAAATTCAGGCTGCTAGAGAAGAGCTGGAATATATCAACTGAGAGGATTTATTCTCCCCTGACAGCATCAAGGAAGATCCAGACACTGCATTAGCTCAGAGCACTTACAGGAACAGAGAGCCATGTGCAGTCAGCAGGTTAAAAACTGTTCACTTATCACATGGCTTACAGAATTTGGGATTTTTTCTGAGCACGAAAGAAACTGAAGCTGTTGTGACAGTGACATGCCACCATAAATCCTAACTATACATTTCATCTGAAATTTGAAGGTGATGCTGATTTTGAAGCAGGAGGGTTTTTTAATTTAGATTACTGCCAACAACAATGTAACTTAAGGCAATCCAGTACAACTTTGAAACTGCTGCTAGTGACTATGTATTGTGCCAAAGCCAAGGTGCTTGCAATTTTCCAGCCAGAAACTGTTAAAGTTTCTGTAAACTCTACCAAAGACAAAGAAAAATTACCTTTATTTCTCTGCTGTGGAGTTTTGATGCTCCATCACTTGCTTGAAACATCTTCTTCAGCTCTGTCTGCTTCTTCTGTCCTGACTCTGTGCTGAAAGCAAGATGATCCAGATCTTTGCCAAGTTTCCTCAACAGACTGTCCTTCTCTGCCATCCATGCTTTCTCATTGGCTCTGGCATCAAACTTGAGCTGGAGAAAGTCCCTGGTACTCTCATATAAGAGATTTTGGGTCTTATGGAGCCTGCAAAAAGGGATCCCAGTGGAGTTAACTTCTTTCCTGGTGCCTACCTTAATTTCATCAGTCATCACTGAAGTTGGAAGAAGCACAGGAGAAGACATACGGTCTAAATGTGAGTTTAACTCTTCTCATCTAATGAAAGAAGTGCTCTTCTTCCAATGGGAGAGGGTTTTTAATAAGCAGATTATTCCATTCACACTACCAGATGGCTGCACAATTTGCTTTTCTGCCTGCTGCAGAAAGCAACACACTGAAAGTCATAACATTTCTATTGCTCCCTCTCTTCTCATCTCATGCCTACATCATGGTCATGCTCTCACACTCACTTTTCTGTGATGGCTTTTATCTTTTCCTGGTCCTTCTGATGCCGGACCTCAGCTTCCTCCATCTGAATCCGCCTGTCCTCCAGTAGTGCCTCAACCTGTTCCTTGGTTAATCGTGTCTGTTCTTCTATCTGAGCCTGCAGGGCCTTCACCTGCACAAGCAAACAAAGACATTACAGAACAACACCTCACACCAGCTCTGCTCCTGTTAAATTCCATGTTTTAGATCAAAAACTGTACCTGATAATACCTTTGGCAGTTCTAATTTCTCCATCTTTTGTTTTTGTTGTAATACTAAATATTTCAAACAACTAAATCATTAAAAAATGCTGTAGGCAAGAGAGGAGCAACATATAAGGAGCAACATTAGATTGTTAATATTTTTGCATTGTTAAAATTTAAATTGTACATGTCTAACAAATCCTGTGGAATATGCAGAGATGCTTCTGTACCTTTGCTTGAACAAATAATAATAATAAAAAAACCAACCACCATCAATATCTGCTGTACAAGTTCATCCATTATTTACTTGATTCATCCTTCCTCATGCTTTGCATACAGCTTCAGGCATCTTCCCCAGTTCATGATTCTGCACATTTTATCTTTCATTCTGTCATGCCACCTATACCTAAACCTTTATGGAAGTCTAGAAAAGGGAACATTTCATTGTATCAATGCACTTTATGGGGCTGCCTAATACTGTCTCAAACACATTGCTTTTGTCAAACTTGCACAAAACACCCAACCCTGCACATCTTCAGTGGGTTTAATGTAAATTCATATCTGTTATCAAATTACGGGAGATAACATCAATTACACATTCTATACTTAAGGACAACATATTTCAGTTGACATTACTGGAACATCTGCTTACAAAAAGCTTCCAGAATCAGTTCTTAAATTTACATTCACAGCACAGAAAGAGCTAAGTAAACTGACAAAGTGTGACTCCATAGTAAGATGCAGGGATTTAGACAACTGGTACATCTACATTTTATCTTAAGCAGACAGATTATTTTTTATCATAATTTTCTGCAAGCCAGCAATTATGTCCATCAGTTAGCAAATGTTTTTACCTGTAGTAAAAGTGTGTCATCATCTTTTTGATCTCTCCCCGAACTTCTTAATTTCTCTGCTTTTGCTGTTGCTTTTGAAGCACTCTTCTCTGTACCTGTTGAAGAAATTGAACTGAAGTAGGAAAGGGTTTTCCAATGTACTTGCAGTACCTTTCCAAGCATGACATATTTGTGTTCTGGTGAGCCTACAGGAACAGCAGAAAGATTTCCACTGCTACAGTCACAAGCACTTCTAGGAGGGTTAGCTGAAAGAAAAGAATTCTAGAACTTTGGGTGATCACATACCTTTATCCCCTCTATCATATTGCAGTACTTAGGCACCCTCCTAATTTTGTTGGCATATATAGAAAGAAAACTTGTCATGTTTTCTTAAAATAAGTGATGAATAGGCAGATGCTACAGCTGCACAAACATCAAGGCTTGAAGGAGTTTTGAGCTTGTTGGCTAATTTCAATCAATTTTATGAAACAATTATTTCCAAAGAGAAAATTAGTATGTAGGCACATGAACCAAAATACTGTCTGCACAAAAGGCAAGCAGAGCCTGACAGCCTGGAGTGGCTGTGGCAAAGGTGCCTGCACAGCTCCAGAACAGCCACATGAGGGTCATGAGTGTCCTCCTCCTCAGCTGAGCACATCAGGGACACGAGAGGCTATTTTAAAGGGTGATGAAAGGGAGCCAAGAGAACTGCATGGGTATGTACAGACACATTTAGGGAACTTAATGGAGATTTACCAAAGCATTCACAGACAGGAATTTTTTTGGCATACAGGAGACAGACACAAAAAGCAAGAGCTGAGCTGCTGTTACTCAGCTCGGTGTGGTACCTGTGCTAGAAATATCATCTTGTTCTTGGGTCTCTGCTGGCCTTTGCAGAACAGTAACCTACAGAAACAAGACAAATGCACTGAGCATCTACTTCCCCAAAGTGCAATGGTCAAGAACAAACCTTAAAAAGTTAAAAGGAGATATCCAAAAGAACAGCATTACCTTACTTCTACCACAAGACAAGGAAGACATTCACAAGTGTAATGCCCAAGTTGAAAAGTTTCCTTTATCATGGCTGAGTTTTGCCATTACTGCCTCTATATTTTTCACCAGAACAAGTGGAAAGTAATTCTGCCTTTGATGGCTTCATTAGGATGAAAATCAGCACCCTCAGCAGGAAAAAGAGCATTTTGGAGACAGAGAGAAGAGGAAGGTGAAGATGATATTATTTCCTTCTTTTATACTCTTCCTTGTCTCATTAAGACAGAAACATGAAGCTTCATTTATCAGCACATTCATTCAAGATACTGAACAAGCCCGAGATAGAAGCTAAGCGATAAAAATACTGAAACACAACTGTTGAACTGAAACCCACCTAAAAAAAAAAGAGGAGGCCATGAAAGAGCAGGTTATAACCCCAATGCTTGTCTTTAGGTGGATATTACATAATAGGCTTAATTTTAGAGCTATCCTAAACCAGGAATTTTAAAGCTTTTGCAAGAGTTTTGAAGAGCTTGAGCAGTGCAGAACAACCATGAACAATGCAGCATATTTCAGCCTTTTTCTGCACCTTATTCCAAAATAAATCCTATATTTCTGCCATAGTCCCTGTACATCCAAATCACTCATGACTTTGCTTAAACAATTCAACATCACTTCTGAAATATGCAACACAATGTTGTCTAGAGCAGATGGCTCTCCAGCAATCTTCAGCCCAGGAAAATGCTGCAGCAGCCTTGACACATTCTTCTTTACTGAAGCTCTAAGAGACAGGCATTCTGAGACAGCTGAGCTTCAAACAATGTGCCTGGTCATTTTCTGCACTTTTTTTTCCCCCTTTTGTGGTGTTGCCAATTTCTTGACAACCATTTGCCAGATACTTCAGATCCCATCTGACATTTCAGAGGCCGAGCTGGAGGTATGTTTTGGAGGCAGGAGAAGGCTGATGCTAAGAGTATCTACTTCCAGTGTGCTTATTCTTACTTACCTTTATACTGAAACCTGATGTTGCTACAGACCCCTCTTGCTTTGGGTTCATTTAGCAACCTTTGATTTATGGGATAGATCTGGCTTGTGGCAGACTCTGGGATACAGATACTCATGTTAAAATCCAAAGAGGAGATCTACAGAAAAATGGAACTTGCCTTATGTGGAGGCTCCTTATGAAAATATGTTATTTCTCCTTCATCTGCTCCCAGTATAGCCAGGAGTTGTTGGATTTTTTTCCTGTCCTCCAATTCCCTGGAATAAAAAGGAAGTGAAAATAGAAAAATGGACAATAGAAAATATACAAATAGAAGCAGATTAAAAAAAAATACATCACGACACTGTGACACACTGTCCTTTTACTTTACCCGTTGGTGTTTGCAAGTTTTCCAACCTGTTGCAGTCCCTGAGAATACTGATGTAAAAACAAGCTCCCAAAGATATTCCTGATGTTACCAATACAAGAACACCATCAATTTTGCTGAGATTGGAGAGCATTTCTCTTTTCAAGTATGACAATACTATGTAGGCTGATACAATAGCATACAGTGAAAAGAATTTGCATTAAGAGTTATGAACTACCTAAAATTCTCTCAGATTCTAAGTGTCCACCGTTTTTAACTCAAACTACATTAAGAGCTGTATCAGACTTCTTATCACACTCCTGAGAAGTATCAAGGCACACCAACACATGTTCTGACTTAAGTTCTTAAATCTTGAATGGAGAAATTCATGCAGAAGCACAGAAAGAGAGTGAGGAGGAGGAAGTAGCAGAGACATTATGTAATGAATTGACCACAACACCCATTCCCTTCCACCCTGTGCTCCTCAGGAGGAGGAGGAGGCAGAAAATTCATGACCCAAGTTGAGCTGGGAGAAGAGAGGTGTGGGGGAAAGGTATTTAAGACCTGGGTTTATTTCTCATTATCCTAGTCTGATTTCATAGAAATCAGAAGGGACCTTAGAGATGATCTAGTTTCAAGCCCCCTGCCACAGGCTGAGACCCTTCCACTGGACCAGATTTCTCAGAGACCCATCCATCCTGGCCATGAACACTCCCAGGGATGGCACATCCACATCTTGGCAGCCTGTTCCAGTGGCTCACCATCCTCATAATGAAGAATTTCCTGGCAACAACTACTCTAAACCCACCCTCCTTCAGTTAAAGCCATCCCCCTCACCCTGTCACTACAGGCTCTTGTAGTAGTTCCTCTCCTGCTCTCTTGTAGGCCCTCTAAGTGCTAAAAAGGGTGCTATAAGGGCTCCCTGGAGCCTTCTCTTCTTGAGACTGAAGAGCCTCTACTCTCTCAGTCTGTCTTTGTAAGACAGAGGCTCCAGCTCTCTGCTCATTTAATTGTTAATAATTTCCCCCAGTCAAGTCTGTTTTGCCTGAAGGCTGCTAAGAGAGCTCCTTCTCTTCTCAAGGCTGAACAGCCTCTACTCTCTCAGCCTGTCTTTGTAAGACAGAGGCTCCAGCCCTCTGCTCATTTAATTGTTAATAATTTCCCCCAGTCAAGTCTGTTTTGCCTGTGATGGTAACTGGTGAATTATCTCTGTCCTTACCTTGGCCCATGACTCTTTTCTTGTATTTTCTCCCCACTGTCCAGCACAGGAGGTGAGTGACAAAAGACACCTTGGTGGGCACCTGGCATCCAGCCAAGCTCAACCCACCAGAGTCAGCTTCAATCAAAACTTCACATTCAATCTGGTAACACACAATTCATATCTGAACCAATGTTCAATTTCTGCTCTTCCTTCAACTACCAGAACAGGAGGAATAATAAGTGGGAACATTTAGCAGCCCAACAGATTGCACTGCACTTTCACTGCTCTGGTTTCATAGGAAGTGTGGAATAATTGCTGCTCTGAGGACTCCAGGTGTGGCTGAGAGCAAACTGCTGCTGGCAGTGCCTCAGCCCCCACCCAGGAGAGCCCACCTGAGTTTCAGACGGTCGTTCTCCGAGTACAGGCGAAGGACTTGCTCCTTCTCCTGGAACAGGTACACCTGCATGTCACTCAAAGCCTTCTGCAGCTCTGCAATCTCCTCTTCCAGGTGGCGGACCTCCCACTGCAGCTGGTGCTGAGTGGAGAGAAAAAGGGACTTGAAATCAAACAGAGCACTGGACAACACTTGCAAACTTCAAACTGCTTGTGCTCTGAGTCTGGAACTGGGATAGAACTGCCAGCTCAAGAATTATTTTATTCTCCTATAATATTTGACCAGATGAGGGCAGTATTGGAAAAATGATTTTAAAAATGTTTCATTTTTTCCACCTGGTATAGGAAGCTGCCAACCACTCCTGTATGAAAAAGGCACTACTTTGCAACCTGCCCCTCTTTTTCCCACATGACAGCAAGATGTACAGTACATACTTCCCCAAGGACTTTCAGGCTGCTTCAAGCATGGCAGTGCTTGAGGAGGCACCTCGATCACCTCAGAAATGACTGTTTTATTCCCAAATAACCAGTCACAATTACAAAGATGACTGCTATAGCCTGTATCAGGGCACTGCAGATAGTCTTTAAGGTTTCTTCCTCTTAAAACACAAATTTTTAGATTTATTCTCAGCAGCTGATGGCCAAGCTTATGAATTCCACTGTAGTAAATACGCATTATATCCATAAGTCAAAGCCTATTAAATTTGGACAAAAGAGCATTCCTTCAACACAAGAAGGAAGGGAAAGAAGCTGGACAACATGGAAATGAGCATGTAAACTCAGGCCTTAATATAAAAAAACCCCAAAAAACAGAAAAAAAAACCAAAAAACAAACAAACCAAAACACAAAAAAAACCAAAAAAAAACACCCAAAATTCCCACTGTGAAGATAAAACCAAGTTATAATAACTTTTGAAGAACATCCTACAGGCATATTACTGTTTGATTTGACAGAGGACAGACAGCCAGATCTTAAAATCAATCGCCAAATCCTAGCTGGTAAATCTCCAGATTTCTGTGCTGAATTTCAACTGACTAAAAACACCAATCTTGTGAATATAGCCCATTGTTGTTCAACAACTCATTTCCTCACCTGCTCATCATAGGTTTGCTTGTATTTCTCCAGCCTTTTCACCAGTTCCTCGTGCTCCTCGTCGAAGTCAGCGATCTTCTTGCGGTAATACTCCAGCAGCTCGTGGGAGGGGTTCAGATGGGCCAAGCGCTCACTGACGGAGGGCAGGGGAGAGAAATCCTCCTGGCTGGGACACCGCGACTCCGCGGATCTGGAGGAGGCACGGGGGGTTGCCAGCCTGGATGGAAACAGACTCTGATGACGTGCAAGCTTCTGACAGGAAAATAAAAACACTTTCTAAAGCAGCTAAAAGGATTTTAAGTTTTTACACAGATTAGTTTAATAGCAGGAGATCAGGGCATTTGACAAATCAAATCAAGAACTGATAAAAAGCAGCTTGCAGGTGTGTTGTACTGTGGAGGAGGGCCCAACCCATGGAAAAGATAAAAAAATATGTTATGGAAGGAAAGCCTCATACATTATTTGGGGAGGATGACTATGAAAAGAGGAGAAAAAGAATAAAAGGACAGAACTCAGGGGATAAAAAGTCCATTGCTGTTCAATTAAAAGCAGCAGCCACTGTGAAATAAACATGAAAACAACCTGTGACAGTCCCTATTGGACACCCAAACAGAAAAACACTTTCTAAAGACACACTGAATGAAGACAGTAATTCAGGCTAGCTAATGCACCAGCCATTATAATTTAGGAATCTATGTGCTTTCCTTTCTGGTGTCCTTGATATTCTCACCTACATAGCTTGTCCACCCTCAATGCTGAAACAGAAGCCACCAAGTTCTTGAATCTTATGTTGAAGTGTTACATGGAAAGCCAGTCAATGTTATACAAATCAAATCAAGGATATGTATAATTACATACTGTACTTTTCCTCAAAGCAATATTTAGTGCATTCAAACATTTAATCTGTTCAAAGAAGCAGCAAATTGGCAAACAGAGATTCAGAGTTAAAAACCTTAGAAAGTGCTCTTTTCATTAGTTATATTGATACAAAATTTTTTTTGCAAATGAAACCATGAATAACAGAAGCTAAAAAGCCTCTTGACCAAAGAGCTGCTTAGTCAGAATCTGGGAAGAATCAGGAATTTTGATGAAAGAGTGATTTGGCAGGTGACACTGAGGCAAGGGTGACCTTTATGGGGCCACTCACCAAGCTGCATTGATCAGAACCCCAGTGCACATCCCTGAAAACTCTGGGCATTGTAGGAAAGCATTAAATAAACCAAAATTTAAGTACCAAGTGCAGGAACTTGCTGTAGGACCAGAAACTCCTTAAACAACACACTCAGAGAAACAACACCAGAAAGAAGGAGGCAACCCAGGCACAAGCTGAACGTTTTCCTGCTGAAGAGCAGCAGGAACTGAAAGACGGGAGAACCAGGAAGGCACAGGAGCAGACCCAGAGGTGCCCTAGGGCAGAGCAGGAGGGAAAGGGCTCCGGGAGCCAGTTCCAGCGGGCAGGAAGGAAGGAAAGGGCCCGGCGGCAGCAGCAGCCCCACACGCACTACCTCGGGCAGCGCGCGCTCCCCGCAGCGCGGTCCGCCGCGCTCATCGCGGCCCTGCGGAGAGCCGGGCACTCCATAGGTGGAGCACAGGGCTTCGGGCACCCCGGTAGGCGGGTGAAGGGAGGGTGCCCGGCGGGAGCCCCGCTGGAAGAGCCCCGGGATGGAGGGCGCGGGATGGGGGCCCCGCCACCGCCACCGCCTCCGCCTCCGCACGGCTCCAACGGCCCAGCAACGGCCGCGCCGGCCCCGCCGCGGCTTAAACGGCGCCACGCCCCGCCCCCGCCGCGTCCTCCAATCACAGACGGGCTTTCATGCCGCGCCGGCAGCCTGCGCCAATCAGCGCTCGCGATACGGGCGGCAGCGGTTCCGCGCTGGTGCATCTGGGAGTTGTAGTTCCGGAATTGCCGGGGGGGCTATGGCGGAGCACAGGGCCTGCGCTCATGGAGCTGTGTTTGTGAGGGCAGCGATTCGCTACGGGCAAAATAAAAGCAACCTTCATCCACACCAGCAAAACACGCCCCTTTTCCTCTGAAAACGGCCTGGCATTTGGAAGCAGCCGCAAGAAGTTGCTGGCACAAGTTCTGGCTGAATTGAATGTGTTCTTTAGGTTATCCGGATGCTTTTTAGCCTCCTCATGTACTCCCAGTAATAGTGTTGCCATTTATGCACCAAACGATTTCCCAATTTATTAAGTGTGCTGGAGAAAAAAACCCAATTTGCTCAGCAATAAGGCAGGGTTCTTTTTGCCTTAAGGCTGTGTTTTATGAAACCACAAGGTTCTTCCTCATCACAATTTGCAGCTTCCTTGACGAGGGGCAGGCATTTATCTCTTTTTTTGTGACAAGGGAGGGAATGGCCTTGTGAAAAACGCCAATCACTTGCGTTAAAATTTTAAAAGTTTAATAATTATAAAAAGTAATAATAAAAATTAGGGCAATAAGAATTTGGACAGTCAGAGTTAGGGCAATGAAAGCAAAGAATTACAGACTGGGCATCTGGCACTGTGCCGTAGAAAAACACCTCACTAACAAAGGATTAACTCTTAAAAGCAATAGCTTGTTGAATATTCATGTATCTCATCCACCATGCAAATATTCTTTTCAAACAAAGGGTGTTTTCTGGTTATTGTAAACTTCCTCCCTCATCTTCAAACCAATTCCTCATTCTTCAAACCAATTTCCTCATGAAACAGAGAAAATAGCTTTTGAGCACGAAGATTTTTCCTTTTTCCTTCTGGTATTCCTGGCTAAATCATTGGTTATCTCAGAAATCGGGTTCTGTTCTTGGGAATACAAGATATATGTATTTCCTTAAAAGAATCTGGTACAGCTCATCAGAAGAGAGACACAACCAAACAATAAAATAAAAAAAAAGGCTTGTAGGAATATATAATTTCTAGATCCTAGTAAGGAAACGTCTGCATCCCACATGCTTATGCAGTCCTACATAAAATTATCCAGCATCCATGTCAGAATCCCCCCGTGAAATGCAAGAAGACTTAGCAACAAGACAATAACATCAATGTGCTCAATGTTTTGTAAGATCAGTTTGGTTTTACCTGTAACTTCTGTTAAAATTAGCCACTCTCAGTGTTTCCCACACGTAAAACGTGGGTGGCACCCCTTTAATGTGGCAGGGAAGTGACGCAGAGAAATGTTTTGATCTGCATCAGGTGCGGCAGATCTTTTAAAGCCTCCTGGTAACAGGAGGAGGGAGTTAACTTTCCCTGAGGCTGAAATAGAACACCAGTATAATAATCAGCAAGAATAAAGTGGAATTTGGTGAGCAGCAAAGGCACAGTTCTGGTTGAACACAAAAAGAGATACAATTTACTTTGGAAGATGGGGTTGCAGTGGATAGGTAAAAGATACAGATTTCTGTGTGGTGACAGTGACAGAACCCGAGGGGACGGCCTGAAGCTGGTGGAGTTCAGGCTGGATATTATAAAAAGGCTTTTCCCCAGAGGTGTTTGGGCACTGAACAGCTCCCCGGGGCAGCGGGCACAGCACAGCCGGCAGGGCTCGGGGAGTGTTCGGACAATGCCCTCAGGCACGGGGTGTGACCCCTGGGCTGTCCTGGGCAGGGCCAGCGCTCGGATTCTGTGATGTTTGTGGGTCCCGTCCCCATCCCGGCCCTTCCCTCAGCCCCGGCCGCTCCTGAGGGAAAGGGGGCGGGGCCTGCGGAGGGGCGTGGCCACGGGGGGCGTGGCTTCCAGCGGCGCTCCTGACGTCCGGCACAGACAATGGGCGACGCGGCCCCGCGGAACCGGAAGTGAACGGCTTGGATTTCGTCGCACATTCCTCCGCGGCGGAAGTGGCGGTGGCCCCGCCCTCCCCGGTGCCCGGTCCCTCCTGCCCCGGCGCGGTGCCCCGAGGGGCGGAGGACGGGGCGGATTTGCGCTGGGGGCGTCCCCGGGAGCGGCAGGCGCGGAAGCCACCTCCCCAGAAGAAGCGCGGCGGAGGGGGACTACTTTGTGGCTCGGAAGGCAATGCGCAAAACTTCCGGGGAGGACTCTGCAAGCGCGTCACTTCCGGCGGGCCGGGACGCGAGGAGCGGGGCTCGGGCGGGGGCAGCGCTCCCGGCCGGGACAGCGGCAGCCGCGCCCGGCACCACATCCCGCCGCGCCGCCCGGCCGGGGCGGCGGGTCGCGCTATGCGGCCGAGTTCGTGCCGCCGCCCGAGTGCCCCGTGTTCGAGCCCAGCTGGGAGGAGTTCAGCGACCCGCTCGGCTTCATCGGCCGCATCCGCGGCCTGGCCGAGAAAACCGGCATCTGCAAGATCCGGCCCCCCAAGGTACCGCGGCGGCGCTCCCCGGGCCGCGCCGGGCCCTCGGTGCCCGGCCGGGGGCCAGGGGAGCCGGGCACGCCGTGCCCCCGCTCGGGGCTCCGTGTGTCGCTTCCCTCAGGCCGCGGGGTCCGTGCCAGGGACGCCGAGGAGCGTGTGGAGGCTGTGACCTCCGAGGCGAATAGCGAGTGCGTGGCCGTGCCCGGGGCTCGCTGCTATTTTTACTTCCAAAACGCCGGCAGCCGACTCGTGCGAGCTGGGAAGGCTTTGTAGGTGGAACCGGGCGGGGAAGAGCGAGGAGGAAGGGTATTTGTGGTGGATCATTGTTGAAAAAGAGCGTTTTTAGGCTGTTCAGAGGAGCACGGCCGGCCTGTTGGTGTAGGGGCATCGCGTTTGTGCACGGCTCTTCAGGGGACAGCAGTTTAATCTCCAATTTATGGTCAGGTCTTCACAGCGACAGCATCAGGCACCTTGGCACTTCACTGAATTATTAAAGTACAAATAAACTTTAAAAGCAGCTGTTAGTAAGAGGCTGGAAAACAGTGGGAGAGGTGAAAGCCTGGAAAGACAGCGTGTAACTGAGGGCTGGTTGGATTTCGTGGTTCCCTCCTGGCCTGTTTTGGTTCCTGGAATTCGCTTAGTTTAATGACATGGTGGAAGCTTGACCTCCAAGGGGCTGCCCTTGCTAAAATAAGCTGCAGAGCTCAGGTTGAGAGGCCACGAGGAGGAGCAGATGCAGATCCTGTTGGTTGAGGAGAGCTGGAACTCTCCTGGCTGTTGGGTGCACTTGTGTTCCTCCGAGGCTGCTGAGCTGCACACGTGTCGGGTTCATTTCCAACCTGCAGTAATTGCTAAGCCACACATTTCTTACTGCCCTGGCTGATTAATTGCTGTTTCCTGTTGATAGAAGCTGTGAATATTTAAGGTTGTGCTGGAGGCCTTCGTGTGTGGCTTGCCCACCTGTAGTGGCGTGTCCCTCCCATGATGTGGTCACTGCCAGGTGGACGACCTGCTGTAACTGAAGCTTTTTAAAAAAGTGCTAAAAAGCTGAATTGCTTGTTTTGATGTTGTAGCACGGTTTTGGGAGGTGGGGCTGTGAGGCTCTTGTGTCTGCACTGACCCCTGGCAGTGCTGAGAAAGTCATTATTTATGGCTCCATTCCTGTTAAAGAATTGGGCTCCCAACTGGTGGTCTTGTCTTTACTGAAACGACTGCAACCAAGCAGAAAACCATTAGATGTGTTGTGCCCTGCCTGATTTAGTCTTTGTTGAGGATTTTTCAGTGTGCAGGATGTATGGATTCTTTATTTAAAGTAAATAAATAACTGATCAGCTGCAGTGTATCTCGTGTTTAAGCTTAGCATGAGGTAATGCACGCTGAGATGCTTTGAGCCTTAATTTTCTTTGGCATTTTTGAATCTGTGAGGATCTTTCTTCAGACTAAAATATGGTGGGAGGAACATTGTTGTATAAGCACAAAAATGTCTTAAAATTGGAAAATGATATCACCAGTTCTTAGAAACTAATTTACTGTCAGGACCTTGTTTACTCAGGCGTTTTTAGGGTGTTTGGCTTTGTGCATTTTTCAGAGAAGTTTCTGGAAGCAGTAAAATGTCTTTCTGTCTCTGTTTAGGACTGGCAGCCTCCATTTGCATGTGAAGTGCAAAGTTTTCGTTTCACTCCACGAATTCAGCGCCTGAATGAACTGGAGGTGAGCTCTCCCACTGTTGATACAATTTTGTGGTTGCACTGAAAGAAAGAATGAGGTCTCCCTGCTTGGGGTTTGCACCTTGGCAGGTTTCTGCATGGGGAACACTTTAGAACCCCATAGACCATGTCAGTGTTTATGCTTGGCTGTGGCAGAGTTTATATAAAATAGCTCTCCCTTGCTTTGTGAAAAATCTGGTTTTTATTTTATTACCCAAAATAACCACAGGAGTGTTCCCCATTCACCTGGTAGTGTCTAGAATGAATTCCAAATATCGTGTGTGCAGTAAGAGCAGCCAGTGTCTATCCTTCAGAGCTCCACAGGCAATGATTTTTTCCTCTTAAAATCTTTCCTCTTAAAAGCTGTTCTGATGCCTCTGGTTACCTCATACTGTTGTGATAATGTCTTTTAAGCCTTAAAATTATTTTTATAGGCTTATTATGGCTGATTAATTTTATGATTTAAAAACTGTCTTGTAAGCAGTATGACCTCCATTCTGTCCTGGTTTTTCCTTTTCTCTGCAACATTTCTCAAAGCCTTGCTTTGTTCCCATACCAAAATGTCATTTGGCTTGTAAATGGGTCCCCTTATGGAAAGTGATTTGGGTACTCCTGAGAAAGGCCCTTTGTGTGGATAAGGCATAAATAAAAACTGGTAATGTATAAAAAATGGTAATATATAAAAACTGTTGGTAATTCCTTTGCTGCCCACCAATAATTGTCC